GGCAAAAAAAGAGTTTTTTGCCTATGGCGCATATCATCAAACTTTTCTCCGAAGGGTGCCGCTGTTATTATTCCTTAGATGTCCCCCCATAAGCAGAATCAGGCCCACCTTCGCTGCGTTCACCGTCTCCAGAATATGACGTCATCTGTCATCACCGTCGAGCTTAAGGAGGCCTACAATAATCGCTCCATTCTGAAGCTGCTACATAAATTCTTCAATCGGATAACTGGTGAATGACTTCTTAGAGACACTAGCTCTGACTATGCAAAATGGCTTTTGACCAGCGTTTCAGAGACGTCGTAATCATCTATGGTTTCTCGACGACCCCGTTGAGCTCGTACCGCGAACCATGTTTCCGTGGGAAAATCTTCTGGTGTCGTCGGTTTAGAAGGCCACTATGCAATGTTTTTGATAGAATAGAATGTGCTCTTCAATATGCAATTGAGCTCATTCGGTTTGGTTTTGGCAAAGTGTAATTAATTCTGTTTTGAATGTGAGTAGGAGTGACTCTTTTTTTTGCCCCTGTACATCCCCAAACAGGAGAAAGACCCCTCCCTGGTAAGGTCTCTCCCCGAAAACTCGGGGAAAGGCTACGCCCACCGGTTCTTGGGGATATCTCTCCGATTAACATACAATCGGGGAAATATACCCGGGGGATTGGAACATACAGGCGGGGAGCATTTCCTCGGAGAACGGTGCATGGCCTTCCCGAAAGTTACCGGAGGGATGGAGCATACCATTACCATGGAATGGTCCCTTATCCTGGCTCAGGGTAAGCATACCTCACGGCCCCTGATATCGGATCACGCATATCGGATGTAGTCGTGTCAAAAATAGTTCACATTTACAAAGACTTTTTTCATGCCAGTGTTCAAAAATTGCAGTACTTTGCTATTCTGGTCAGCTTAATGTGAATAGGTTCAGATTAGTACTACCCTAAGTTGAAGTAGGGTCTTACAGATCAAAGCCACGGAAAAGGAAGATTCCACGCTTACATCACAGCAGCAACTGGATCGTCTACTGAGACCGGGTTCAACATATTTGAACTTGAATCCGTTCGAGGTATGATTTTGAAGACATCCGTTGTTTCTTTAATGAGTGTTGCTCATTTAGGTACTACAAATTGAACCAGATTCCGACATAGAGTTAGCGAAGAAGAAATTTAAAAAATTGTCACTACTTATTCACCCCGATAAAAATCCTGATGATCGTGGATAGGGCCGACCAGGCATTCGATAGTGAGCATAGCTTTCCCTATTTCATTCCTTTGCGGGTATTTTTTAAGGCAAAGCGTAATGTTATCTGTCATTTTAGTTATAAAAAAGGCGATAAAGCAAATTGAGAATCCACTTGAGCTCAATCGTTGTAAAGACTGCTACACAGAGGCTCGTGCTCGTCTAGCCATTGTGGGTTATGTTGTATTTGCTTTTACTTGCACTACTTTTACACTTACTTTCCTTTGCTATTTCAGATGTCAGAGAAACGACGGAAAGCCAAAAAGGAGAACGGCACTAACGAAATTGAAGGAGGACGACCCAGAGGTATACAAGAAGCAGTTGTGGATAACCGTTACGAAAGTTTTTGCCGATCGCGAAAAGAAGAGGAAAAATGCTTGAGGAAAGGGCAAATGAAGAAAAGTGAGCTTTTTCATAAAGTATATGGTGTCCATTCGCAGAAATTATATTTGCATTAGGATGACTGAGCCGCAATAATTAATAATTCGTTTTTTTTTTTCAGAGAAATAGGCTTTCTATTTTTTTCTCCATCTGTTTCATATTTATTCAGATGAGTGTAACTCCTAATTATTCTTAGCTGATCGAAAAGTGAAGATTATTTTAGACGACGAGCGGCTGAGACGATACAGCAAGCAGCAGAGAAGAGGAAGCTGGCTGAGGAATTTGCTAAAAATTACGAGGTGAGTGAGACGGATCCATTTTGATATCACTTGTGACGAAATTATTGAGCTCAACAATTCAACTCAGGAATCTCGTGATGAGCGCTCAGGCAGCTGGCGTAATTTCCAAGCGAAAAAGGCTAAACGTGAGGAAGGCGGTAAAACAATGCGGGGTGCTGCGTTCCGCCCACCGAAGCCAAAGTTACAAAAATGAAATGATCTCATCGAGCACCTAACAATTTGTTTGGTGTTTACTGTTTTATTGCGATTGTAATTAATAAAAATCAGATGCACTAAAAAGTGTTACTGTTAAGGTTGTGTGTTTATCTTTCCGGTTTCGGACAGTTTGAGTGAGAAATTAGGTACCTTTAAAAATTAGCATCATCAGGTTTTACTGTTATTCGTAGAATTGCCACCATGGCTTTTAGTGGGAATTAGATGATTGTATCTACCGAATATATCTGAGCGTTAAGCCAGCACTCGGAGTGTGTTAATTGATTGGCTTTTTTGCAGCATAATCGTGGTTCGTTGGTAACAATTCTCTGTTACCAGTTTTTTTTTCTGGGAAAAATTCCATTGCATTTTTTAAAGCAACAATCCCAGGACGAATTTGCGGGGTAAATACCGTTGATAATGTAGTTATAGGCGACAATTTGACCGACAGTGACGAAAAAACCAAAGAAAAACGCGAACAGGGCTTTAAACAGGGACTCCCCTCTGCCCTTAGCGATGAGGGAAGACGCGTGTTGGACGAGTTGTCCGTAAATGCGCTCCAATTGCAATTGCTGGCAATAGCCAGCAATAGCTGGCTACTTGCCAGTAATTGCAATTGGGGCGCAATAATGAAATCGTTTCATGTTTTGAAGGTAGAAGGTAGAAGGAAAAATGTGGAAATCCAGCGTAGTCGGCATCACCGCATTGATTGCTTTGAAGGACCGAGTTCAAATACTCCCTGTGGTCCCAAAACGATCACGAATGCCTCCGCAGCCAATCACGGCTGGCAAGTGGGCGGTCCCGAAGAATTTCCAACCACACCCATTTTGAGGAGTTTAACGCCCTTTTTGGGCTTTTCCCAGGTGAGTTTTCTTTATAACTACACTTCAGATGTTCTCCAATAGGGCCTGTGCATCCTTTAGTGCCATTAGTATTGAAAGAAGCAGACCCTGCTGGGACTGTTGCTTTAAAGGCTATTTATGTTATGCACAAAAGAAAGTGATCAGAACATTAAAGCAACAGTCCCAGCAGGGTGGGCGTGGTCGGAAACGGCTGCAATCCCCTCGGCCGATTCCCACTTCGGAGCTGTTCAGCCCCTAGTCAAGAACGTAAGAAGTGTGACTGAACAAAAACTCACCTTGGAAAGCCGCTAGGGAGGGAGCTGAAGTGGGCGTGGTCGGAATCGGCCGAGGGGATTGCAGTCGTTTCCGACCACGCCCACCCTGCTGGGACTGTTGCTTTAACACGTTGACGACATCGCGCGTTTTGGCATTTTTGGCCGCGTGGGACCAGAGCGGTTCTTGCGAGCGCCGCCGCCTCACATCAAATCTGTGGATTTTGAGCTTTAAAT